TTAAAGAACTTTTGACCCCGTCAACGTACAAAAAGTTGACACGGGATCCGACGGCACGGATACTAAGAACAACGAACAAATTAATTAAGGATATGGCATCTTCATCCGACGAGTTGGCAAAACTCAAAAAATCAGAAGCACTCCCACCAAGGATCTACGGACTACCCAAGATCCATTAACCGGATGTACCACTGAGACCCATTTTGAGCGCCATTGGAGGTCCCACCTACAATATTGCAAAATATCTAGCCAAACTATTACAGCCAAAAATTGAAAAAACGGACAGCTTCGGGAGACGGGCAAGCATCTCATCAAGTCTATCCATGTACTGGTATTAGGTGACGGTAGCACCACATCTCGAACCTTTCCAATCGGTTACACATTGCCATTATCAGGGCGCATCATTCCATTCTGCAGTACAGAATTGCAAATACTACGTATTGACAAGTCCCGACATATAAGAAAGAACCTTCTTGATGTTGCTAAATGCTGCTCCCGCCTACTCGATGCGGGACTTTCCTCGATGTTATCCAACTCACTGCTCAACAAGCACCCCAGAAATCTAAAGCTAATACCTGCTAAATCTGTTGGTTGCGGAAACCGAACAAACAGCACTGAAACTGATTTCAAAAGTAATACACTCTGAGGACTCACCATGTAATCCATCCAAGAAACTTACCTTACTATACCAACGAATATAAATTACGAAACGAACAACTGCTTTATTCTGAACAGATAGTCAATTTTGCTTCGTTTTGTTCACCACAATTGTTTTTAACAATTACCTCAAGTAATAACAGGGCTGTAAGACTGATTGGCTGATGAACGTTAATCTTGGAAATTCTGGATTCTGGGAAAAATGGTTATTCCGGTATATCATTCTTATTCTTCTCTGCAGCTCCACAACCCTTGGTAGGTCTTGGCTGACAGCACGATCATTCCCCACCTTTCTCTATCTTGCATCAATTCTCTTGGCTCTCAGATCTCCAATAATGTTGTCTCTCCAACTCATACGCGGTCTCCCCAGAGATCTTCGCCCTTCCGGGTTCTGTTGTCACACCACTTTGACTACTTGAGAGCCCGGTTGACGATGCACATGTCCAGGCCATCTCAGCCGTCCGGCTTTAATTATTTTGATAATATCTGGTTCCTCATAGACCGCAGTCAGTTCGATGTTTGTTTTTGGACGTAATTAAAGACTTCAGCTTGCTGTCGTTTTTCTTAGTAATTGCACAAGCCCCACTCCCGTATATGACTACTATGATGAGTACGATTGTTTTATATATTTAAATCTTTGATCCTCAAGATGGATTTTTGCTGGTGATAACTTCTTTTAGCACGTACATGCATCTGCAGCAACACTGGACTGAAGCCTTGACTTTGACGTTGGATATCATTGAACTTGAAATTCGTATTTCGTTTTGTCCTAGTGAATTTTAGAGCCCATTATGGGCGCCTGACTTTCAACTTAATTAAATAACTCATTTAGGTACTATTATTACGGTCTTTCCAACCACATCATTGTCGTCGGCGAAAGCTAAAGACCTAATAAGACCCCATGTCTAATTCAGCCGCTCGTATGGCTTTTTACAAGCATATAATGTATAATATAGGTGGGAGAGAATCACTTTGTTTACATTAACTGAGATTATTGTTGAGGCCACTAGACACCTCAAACAAATGACAGTATTTTAACCGTTTTTTTTCTACTTATGGAGCTGTTGACACATATACTTGTTAGCTTAATCTTTAGCATTGACTGTTTTGGAACTTCTAGCTCTACGATTGCGTTCCATAGCCTTAACTCTTGGAATAGTATCGTCTGCCTGCCTAAAGTATCGACTTTGGGTCCATTACAATTGAGGAACCACTCTGTTAAATTTCCAACATTTTTGTAACATTTGCTTTAATGCCTCAATCAGCCCTGTGCTGTATCACTAACGTTAACTTTAACGTGCATGTTATCCGTCAAATACGTTATGTGGCTCCAACTGGTGTGTTGTATCAGTAAAACCTTTATATTATAACAGGCGCACGCTATCGACGAACGTTATATGAAGAAGTAGCGCTTCAGAATAACAGCATCAAATCACATGCCGCTTTCGAACTTAACGTGCACCCCTCGAAGTTAACTTCGGGGAATAAATAAAACAATGGTGAGAGCATAGTTTTGTCAGAGCATAGCATAGCAACAATCAGAGTATAGTTTTGTCTTTTAGCTATAATTTTTTTTTAATTTTAAAGAAAAATATGTCTTTTGGTGGTCTTATAAGGTTAACTTTATTAGAACAATT